GTCTTTCGTGGATCCTACCTGACCTCCATCTTCCACCAGGCCAGACAAAGCCCTTACGATGTGCAGATTGGGCAGCGGGACCCCCTGTCCCACCCAGCCCGGGTACCCGGGGCCTGTTTGATGAATGACTCTGGCTGAGGGGAGCCTGCATGAAGTTGTGGGTGTGGGGGTGACGTGGCAGGGGTCAGAAGGGGGCCAGACCTGGGCCAAGTGTCAGAGAGGCCTGGGTAACGGGAAACCACATCTATCTGTCACACAGACGTGGGAAACTGAGGCCCGACTCTCACCCAGGGAATGGGAAACAGGGGGCCAGAGGCTCCTTTCCTGCTGCAGCGATGGGGTGGGAGCTGGGGAAACTGGGGAAGGGCCGGGTGCCCTAGGTGCTGCCTATTTAAGATCCAGAGGGAGGACAGAGTGCGGCTCCCCGGCCGTCTGTCCATCCTTGAGCCCTGGAATTCTCCTTTCCAGGTTCCTGGACCTCCAGTAGCGGACCCAAGGCTCTAAGGTGTTCCATGAAGAGCCTCAGCTGGCCCTAAATCCTTGAGTGTCAAAGTCCCCCGGTACCCGAGTCCCTGACCTGCTGGCCCCACACAGAACAGAACCTGGATGCCTGGCAGCACACACAGCAGGGCCCAGAACCCTGCCCTCTGCTGCTCCTGGGCACCTCCAAACCCGGTCTCTGGTCCCTGGAGCTTGAGTTTTCTCCACTTGATCCCAGACCATCGGGGTGCACAGCTCGTAATTCCCACACCTCCTCATATGTTAGCTCCTGAGATTTTGACTCCTGGTAAACCCTAATGTCAGCTTCCTTACAGCCCCAGTCTGTTTGGTTGACTCCCTTAGGACCCGCATGCCTAGACCCCACAAAGCCCAATTTCTCAGGCCCCAGCGTGGATTCTTCATACATATATGATTTTCCCCTTGTTCCTGGGGCACCCTACCACTAGCTAGAGACCCAGCTTTTTGCATTTTTTATTTTTAGGAGTCTCCATAAACCCCCCGGGCAGGATTTGGACTTGGCAATCCTTCTGCCTCAGCCTCCCTCAGCGCTGGGATTACAGGCATTCTGGTCCTTAAGTGATTATAATTCCACGTCCCTGCAAGGTCAGGCTCTGCCCCCAGATTCTGACACCCCATCTGCATCTCTGGGCATTGTTCCCTGGCTCCCCATTACGTGTGCCCCTCGGTCCTGGGACTCTGTCCCCAGGGTTCCCAGACACCCAGCTCCCTGGAGCCCTCATAATCTGTCCCAAAGCCTGATGGCTGCTCCCTGAAGATTTTCTATCTGTGTCCCGGGGACCTCGGGTTCCACTCAGCTGTCGCCCAGCGACCCGGAACCCCGTGCACTGGTGCCCCCCCGCAGCAGTGATCCTGTGTCCCGGCCCTCGGAGCCACTCACCCGGGTAGTAGAGCGCCTCGGGCCTGGGCAGGCCGAGGGGGGCCGCGGG